CCCAGACCCAGACCAGTGGTCATTCCGTATGTTGAGGGGGTATCAGAAAAACTGAGACGTTTATTTTCCAAACATAACGTCCCAGTGGCTTTTAAACCCCAAAATACATTACAGCAAAGACTGGTTCATCCCAAAGATCCAGTCCCCCGGCACAAACAGAGTAATGTTGTGTATGCTGTTCAGTGTCAGGAGGGCTGTGATCAGTCTTACGTCGGGGAAACTAAACAGCCACTGGCCAAAAGGATGGCCCAGCACAGAAGATCAACATCATCAGGCCAGGATTCTGCGGTCTACACTCATCTCCAGGCCAGCGGTCACTCTTTCAAGGATGAAGATGTTCACATCCTGGACAGAGAGGAACGATGGTTTGAGAGAGGAGTAAAGGAGGCCATCTTTGTGAAAAGAAATCATCCATCATTAAACAGGGGTGGAGGCCTCCGGGTTCAACTGTCCCCCTCTTACAATGCTGTGATTGCTAGTATCACTCAGCCCTCTGTGAGTAGTAAACAGCCATCAGTGTGCTAATGACCCATTGTTAGGCTGATGGTCCTTCTTGAGCATGTGATCAGCTGGTTTTGGTTGTCAGCAGCAAACTGGTTGATCCACTCTGAGAAGGTGCTATTTAAGAGACTGAGCTGAAAACAGCACCTCAGACTGAGGAAGTCTCTTGGATGAGAGACGAAACGTTTCTAGATTTTTTTGCTTTGTTTTGCTTTTGTTTTTTTGAATGTCCAGGGGACCAGATTGAACTTTTTTGGATATTTCTATTTTTGGATATTTCTATTTTAACATGTGATTCTTGACCTGCCATTGTGCATCTATTCCTTCTTCCTGTTCTTCTCAAACCCAGCCGGTCGAAGCAGATGGCCGCTTGCCCTGAGCCTGGTTCTGCTAAAGGTTTCTTCTTCATGAGGGAGTTTTTCCTTTCCACTGTCGCCTTCATGTTTGCTCAAGATGAGGGTTCTGTGATGGAGTTAAACTCAAAGCAGTCTGCTCCTCAGATAAATAGTGTTAAATTATTATTTTTATATATATGAACGTTTCTGTTCAGTGTCCTGAGATGACTTCTGTTGACTTGGCGCTATATAAATAAACTGAATTGAATTAATTGAGGATATGCTTTGGATCTTATTTTATGAACCAAATAAAAGTAAACAGGAGGCTCACCAATGAGCCAAAGAAACTTTTCAGCAGCATAAGTAAGATATCGCACTCTGAGTGTTATTACATCGATGAATGTGTTGATGTCATTCCTAAAGTTTGTCAGGTCCAAACATGTTGTCGTTTTTACGGCTTTCATCAGGTCAGCTGTGAGAAAGACATTTTACATTTCTGGTTCCAGAAACGAGACAAGACGATCAAGGGTGCATCTGATGGTGAGCAGATGCTCGAGTAGAGTTCCACAAGTGTCCACAGCCCACTTCAGTCCACTCCCTGCACCCACACACACTGAAGCTGCAGCTGTGGGGCCGTGAGCAGACGAGGTCTGTCAAACAGCGTGACACTTGCAGACGTGCCATGTCTGGACAGCGTGGAAAGGTGAATCACATGGGTCTATGGTGAGGAGGCTGGGCCTTAAAATCTGCTCGAGCACAACAAGAGCGGCCTTCTAAACTGGTTTTTAATCTTATTATAAAGTCTATTTCAAAGCACTGAATCCTGATTCAGCTGGTTTTGAGTGCAGGTGGATCGTTACCAGTGTCCCGTTGGAGGGATGAAGTATATGCAGCAGTGCACCCGGGAGTCTGGGATCCGTTTCTTCCTGTTGATGTTGATCTCCTCCTGCAGGTAGGCCTCGTACTGATCATTGATGAACTTCATGATGGGCTGCCAGCTAAACAGGGACAGTTCAGAACAGAGAAACAAGTTTAACTTACTTACAGTGAGAACTACTTTATTTTGTTTTAATACAAGATGGACTTTGTTGTTTTAATACAAGATTCATCCCCGTTTTGTAAACACCGAGGACAAGTTGGAGAAATATTCCTTAAAGAACAAAACATTCTTTATGCAAAGAATCAGCACAAATCCTGCAGAAGCCGTTAATGTGAAAATTAAGAGGTTCTGTGAAAACTTAAAAACAATTATCTTACCTGCTGTAGTTAAGACCTTTGAATGACTTCCATTTGGAGAAACAGTTGAATTCTGACAGGATTGTCGAGCTAATGACTAGTCAGAGTGGAGCCAAGACCCAATCAGATGGCTGAAATTTAAAAACTACAATATACATTTTTTCATAGAGCTGATGCAGAAACCATCTTGTAATCCATGACATCACCATCAATTTCACCTTTCATGACTATTTTCAAAGCAATCTACATTTTGTTGAAGCACTCATCTCTTCCACGATTTTGTCAAAGCGCTGCTCCCGGCTTAAGAGGAGAGGATGCCGGGCGGGGGTTATGGTGAGGCTACGAGCTAACGCTAAAGCCAGTAAACTCCCCATGCCGTCTCTCTTTCTGTCGAATGTCCGCTCGTTGGACAACAAGGTGGATTTACTTCGTCTGAGAGCGGGCGCCTCAGAAGAGATGAAGAAGTGTGCAGTGCTTTGCCTCACGGAAACGTGGATTACAAGTGAAACGCCGGACTCAGTCTTCCAGCTGGATGACAGACTTTTATTTCGAGCGGACCGCTGCAGCGAGCTAACGGGGAAATCACGGGGGGGGCGGAGTGTGCATTTACGTGAGTAAAAGTTGGTCCACGAACTGTACTGTTGTAAATAGCTCATGCTCGAAGGCTTTGGAGCAAATAACAGTGAAATGTCGGCCACATTATCTACCCCGAGAGTTCACAGTGACTTTTATCACAGTTGTTTACATTCCTCCGGACGCTAATGCTAATGAATCACTACAGGAGCTTCATGATATCATCAGCTCGCTGCAGAACAAACACCCCGAGGCTCTTTACGTTGTAGCCGGAGACTTTAACCACGTGAATCTAAAGGACTGTCTCCCAAGCTTTAATCAGCATGTGACGATTCCGACACGTGGAGACCGCACGCTGGACCGTGTTTACACGAACGTAAAAAATGCGTACAAAGCCGACCCCGCCCCCACCTAGGACTGTCAGACCACATCTCAATCTTCCTGGCTCCTGCTTACATGCCCCCGCTGAGACGCTCCAGATCGGTACAAAAGAAAGTTAAATGCTGGATCCAGGACAGTGGCCCCATACTGAGAGATTGTTTTGATCGAACAGACTGGCAGGTTTTCAGAGAAGCTGCTGAAAATGGAGCTTCGCTTGATCTTGACCAATACACATCCTCAGTACTGGGTTACATTAGTACATGTACTGACACAGTCTCCACTATCAGAAATGTTAAAAGCTACCCAAACAGAAAACCTTGGCTGAATGCAGAGGTGCGTACCCTGCTGGAAGCCAGGAACACTGCCTTCAGGTCTGGAAACTCAGAGGAGCTGAGTAGGACAAGAAAAGAGTTGGTTGCTGGTATTAAGAGGGCCATGGCCACATATGCAAAGAGGATCGAGGGTCAATTCATCTCACAAGACCCTCGGAGCATGTGGAGGGGCATTAAGTGCATAACAGATTATAAAAGAAGGAATGAACAATGCCCCAAAGACCCATCTCTGCCTGATGCCCTCAACAAGTTCTATGCACGCTTTGAAGACCCGAACAGACCACCCAGCACCAGACTCACCTCGCCACCGGATGAAGAGCATCTCAGCGTGACCTCAGCAGAAGTAAGGAGTACCTTCAGGAGGATTAATCCGCACAAAGCAACTGGCCCAGACAACATCCCCGGAAAAGTGTTGAAGGAATGTGCTGATCAGCTCTGTGAGGTGCTGGCAGACATCTTTAACACCTCACTTACCCTGGAGACAGTTCCCACCTGCCTGAAGACTGCCACCATCATCCCAGTCCCAAAAAGCTCTACAGTGACTGGTCTGAATGACTATCGGCCAGTGGCCCTCACCCCGATAGTCGTTAAATGCTTCGAAAAACTGGTCATGACTCACATCAAAACAACCATCAACATCAACGAGGACCCTCATCAGTACGCATACCGTGAGAACCGATCAACAGAGGATGCAATCTCCTCTGTGGTCCACACTGCACTCAACCACCTGGAGCAGAAAAACTCTTACGTCCGTATGCTCTTTGTGGACTTCACATCCGCCTTCAACACCATGATCCCCCAAACCCTGATGGACAAACTATCCACACTAGGACTAAGCCCCTCCATCTGCAACTGGGTACTAGACTTTTTAACAAACAGACCACAGTTAGTGAGGATCCACAACCTCTCCTCCTCCACAATAACCCTCAGCACTGGGTCTCCTCAGGGATGTGTGTTGAGCCCCCTTCTGTTTACTCTGCTCACATATGATTGTGCAGCTACCCATCCAGGCTGTCACATTGTAAAGTTTGCAGATGATACAGCGGTGGTGGGATGCATCACAAACAATGATGAGTCCAGCTACAGGCAAGAGGTGGAACACCTGGAGAGCTGGTGCAGAGAGAATAACCTTCACATCAATGTGAAGAAGACAAAGGAGATGATTGTGGACTTCAGAAGGAACAAAAACACCTACACCCCCCTGAACATAAGAGGATCTGCGGTGGAAGTGGTCTCCAGCTACAAGTACTTGGGTGTACACATGAATGACAACCTCAGCTGGAGCAACAACACCACCAGCCTGATCAAGAAAGCTCATCAGAGACTCTACTTCCTCAGACGGCTGAGGCGAGCTGGTCTGGGAAGCTCAGTCCTCACCTCCTTCTACAGGTGTGCAGTGGAGAGCATCCTGTGCTCGAGCATCAATGTGTGGCATGGAGGCTGCACAGCTGCAGAAAGAAAAGCTTTGCAGAGAGTGGTGAAGGCTGCACAGAAATCTGTTGGAATCAGTCTCCCCACCATCACAGACATCTACACCTCCAGATGCAGGAAGAGGGCCACCTGCATCATGAAGGACCCCACCCACCCAGCACACACACTTTTTGCCCCACTCCCCTCAGGAAGGAGGTTAAGGAGCATTAAGTGTAGAACCACTAGACTGAGGAACAGCTTCTACCCTGAGGCTGTTAGACTCATGAATCTCTAACTAGAATAATCACTGTGAAAAACCATATCATGTTGCTGCTGATCTGTTTCATGTTGCTGCTGATCTGTTTCAATGTTGATGTGTTCATGCGTGCACATCTGCTCACAGACTCATGTTAATGTTTGTGCTGATGTTCGTTTTATGTTATGAGTGCTTAGTGTATATTTAGTTGATGTTTTTCTTAGTTTATATCTTAGATGTTATTACTGTTTTTCTTAGACATTTTATTGTTGGATGTAACTGGGACCCGTGTACATAATTTCGCTCCACCACATGTACCACATGAGGCGCGAATGGCAATAAAGAAACTCTGACTCTGACTCAACGGGAGAGGGAGAGACGAGACACGTCTGTGTTGCGTGCTGTTTGTACCAACAGTTTTGAAGGTTTTCGAGCACACGCCGGGGGGCGGGCGTGGGGGGGGGCGCTCACCGTGAGGGAATCGGAGCATTACCTTTAGCTTTTTAGCTAGTGCGTCTGTATTACGCACCGCTAGCCTAGCACTACGTCAGTGCAGGCGGTTGTCGATGGGTGGGGTGTGTGTGTGTTCGAGTCTGTTGACAGGGCGGGGCGCACTGCTTGTATAATGGTAGAGGAAACAATGGACTGATTTTCATGTCAAAGTTTTGAATTAAATTATCTTACGCTGATAAATCATGGTAGTTTAGCGACTGTGATTGAAACTCGCTAGTAATGTTACACATAAATACCACGAGATAACAAATTTTGCTGGGCGATAAATTGTCTCAGAAATTATTGCGATAAACGATAAAACTGTTTGGAATTTGACAATTAGTACTGATAATTATTGTCAAATTTAAGAAGAAATGTTGTTTTTGTGTGTAGTACCTTTTTTGACCACTGCATGGCAGTATAAGACTGTTTGAACCAAAGGATGGATAGTGAGGAAGCGAGCATCATGTCTCTTAAAAAAATGGGAGGGAGGACCTATGACATGACATGGGCTGTCTCTCCTTCTTTTACGGTTCTCAAAATGGCGGATGCTCGGTGTGGTTTGAGCTCTTTAGCATAACATTTTTCACAGAAAGTTTTTAATAAAAAAAATCAGTAAACAAGTTCTCAGCTTCTTTTTTCAGAGAAAAAACAACTTTTTCGTTTCAACCGTGAATTTTGGAGCTTCGACAAGACAGAGGTTTTTTTTCCCCCCAGAGGTCGGCCTGTTAGCTTAGCTTGTAGCTTAGCTTCTCAGCTTAGCTGCTTTTAACAATCCAAAAACGCAGTTTTGGACGGTTAAAATGAATTTTAAACAAAAGTGTAAAAAGAGAAAGGGAGGGGTCAGTGAAGAGCACCAGAGTTGAGCCTTTTGTCATCTAGTGTCTTCAGTAGAAAGAGAGAGACGAAGAAATGATGAAGCAGATAAATGAAAATGAGGTCAATATTTTCATTTATCATGTGACTAATTGATTTATTGGTTATCGTGACAGGCCTAGTCGTGGACTGTGCAGTGTTTCCCCTACCTCTATCCAAGGCGAGCGCCCTGTCCTGTCAACAGAACCGAGCGCCCTGCCTACCAAAATGTCCTCCACCACGGTCGACAGCTGACGGCACTGTCATAGCGCTAAGCTAGTGGCGCACAATACAGATGCGCTAGCTAAAAAGCTACAGAGATAGAGCTCCGTTTCCTTCGACCCCCCACCCTGGTCAACAACTGTTGGCACAAACGGCACACAACACAGACGTGCCTCCGTCTCCAGCCCCAGTTGACAAAAATCACGGAGGAGATGAGCACCAAGTCAAGTGACCCTAGGAGGAACACTGCTGTGGCTCAGTCTCAAAACCACAGCACATTTGGACTGTCTAAAAACTCAGAGCTATTTTTATGTTGGCCAATAATAATTTGCTGTGGCAGCCATCTTGAATAGGATTGATTCCAACAGTAAAGAAGCAGTTCATCCAATGATTACTTTGTGAAAGTTTCATTAAAAAGTGTGCGGTGGAAGAAGAGGTGTGATAAAACAGCTCAGAGCAGTTTGAAACAAAGCTGTTGTAATGAGTGGAGCTCAGAGTGTGTGTTGGGGATGTCTCACAACAACCACTACACAGAGTCTTAGTAGATCAAAATCTATGAAACAGGCTCAATTATGGGCGGCTTTGTGTTCCATTTCGTATAGGCTTTGCCCTTTAAGGCTGTCGCTGGTGGGTTTTATAGCGTCATGCAAAGCATCACACTGAAAAAATTTAGTCCACGCCCACATGTTGTGTGGGCCCCACCCGGTCCGTATAAATTACGTTAAGAGCGGGTAATCAGCTCCCATTTTTCTTCAGCAAGCTAATAGCACTGTCAGAAGAACGAAGAAGGGAAGTTGTCCAGCTTGACCAGCACAACCTTTGTTAAGGCTGCCTGTGGTCCCGCTACGCCAACCTCCTGCCGTCCCGGTGAGTTCTCCTCCCCAAGGAGAAGCAGACGAGCAGTCTTGTTTCAAGGTAAGCACCGAGGAATATTTCTCAGTGGCGGGTCGCTACACGCTGGACGACGCCATCTTTTATTTTTCCTTTTATCGCCGACTCTCGGAGCGAATCTGATGGTTCATCCGGGACAGGCGATGTCAGCAGCAGCCCCCACTGCTCACTCCCTCCTGGAGAGCGTAGTGTCAGAACGAGGGGTGCTGAGAGAATGCTCATCCCTCCCCGGACCTTTTTCGCATCGGCGACCACATCGCTCCCAGCTGTCGGTGCCCTCCTCTGGAGCTGCCCGGCATAATCCAGGAGGCGGCTGACATGAAGGGACTTTTTTCCGTCCCTCTCCTTCCCCCGCCCAGATCGGATGATCTAGCAGAAAGGTTTTTTGGCTCCACCCCGGCTCGCCGTCCTTATCCCATCTGGCCTCGTTTCCCAGCAGTGACGTCCTACTGGAACGAGGCTGCAGCCGGACCTGGTGGACTGAGAGCGCCGGTTTTCCACATCCGTGCCCACCAGAGTGGAGGGGCTTTACCGAGCGGAAATTCCCTCAGTCTACTCAGTGCTGAGTGTGTGATGGGGGCCGCTACATATTCGACCTTATGATCTGTGAAATGGATGTGTTACTTTAGTTTAGCTAAAATCAGTTCACTGTGGTGGCCATCTTGATTTGGGTTGACTCCAAAACGTAGTCAATTGCAAATGTGTATGAAAGTGTTTCTAAATCTGTCAAGAGGTTCATGAAATATTTTTCTAACAGAGAGACAAAAAACAAAGCATTATGAGCTGCCTTTGGACTTTCAGAGACAGCCAGTGTGACATGGACAGATGTTTAAAGCGTCATGAAACAGCACTCATGAAAAAATATGGCCACTCTAGACTGGAGTTTTAGGAAGGTAACACTCCTCTTTGTCTTTGGTGCTACTTGGACTAGCCATTAGCTCTTCAGTTCAGTCAGAACTCAACTTCTCCCAATTGATGTTGTACTAAAAGTAATCTACAACAGGTAAGATATTAGTTGTTCACAGATTTCTCACAGATCTTTTAAAGCAAACTTAATTTGTGTACTTCTGCTTGTATCATTTTTCTTCTCCCATGTGGTGAACGATGGGGGGAGGGGGGGTGACCTCACTCACCAGTTTTCATTATTGATTTGATCCCCAAAGCCTGGAGTGTCGATGACTGTCAGCTTCATCCTCACTCCCTTCTCCTCGACATCTAAACAAGCACATGTATTAGTCTTTTACAGGACCATGCGCTCTGGAAGGATGAAGTCATTGTGAAAACACACATGCTCCAGTGATGTTAGCACCATGTGCGTGGAGTGTGAAGGCTGAACATGGACCAACCGTGACTGATGG